CATGACCCCCCCGACTGGACAGACATGTTCTCCCCCAAAAACACACAGCATGATCTAAGCAAGAACCCTCACCCGATCCACCCTCAGCAAACACCAGCAGCAGGAGCCCACCACCTCATTAGGTTGACCCCAAACACCACTTCACTTCTGCGGAGCTGATCTGAGCAGCATCTTCCAGTTAAAGCAGCTTTTTAATAAAAGTCCGATGCATTTGTTCACGTGTTAGATTTCAGCCAATCACCCGTCTTCTCCTGAGACTCAGTCCACGCCCACGCACGTGTGAATGATGTGCAATGGCTGAGCAGGATCAGACGGGGGTTTGGAAGTGACCCCTCCGACCTTTAGCTTTGAGCCCCTTCCCACCTCCCAACCCACCACCCCGGTCCTACAGTTGGACTGTTTGCTCGCCTTTAGAAACATCGTGACTGTGCGCTGCCGTGTGGCCTCACCTCTCCACGCCCGTCCTTTTTCTTTTTCCGTGGACCAGAGTTGGTTCCTCAGATGTTTGACAGTAGGTCAGTGTTGACTTGTAACCGAGTGATTAGAAGCGACAGACACGTTGCCGTTATGCTCTTTATTTTTTTGTTACTATTTGCCCCCTCCTTTTCTCTGTGCCTTCTTCACAGCTGAACTCTGTAACCATGTATGCCACATATACTGTTCCTATATTAAACCATGTGTAATGTCATGAAGGTATTTTCATAAAATATTCATAAATTTGCATATGAAATGAGAATTTACTGAAACCTGAGAGGGGGGTTTTTGTTGTCATTTTTGTGTCCAGAAATGTGTTTATTTATCAATGTAGGGTAATGATTTAACCTTTTAACTGAAATATTTTCTGTTATATTATAGTTTGTGTAAATACTATATGTAAAACGTTCCAAAAGAAAGAGACAAGTGAAGTTCACTCAGACGGAACAAAAACAAAGTTACACAACACTCGCGTGTACCGCTGTCACTGTTGCCTGACTTTCGCCACACGTAGGCTCTGCTTACAAAACCCGCTTCTTTTAAAAATGTCCACTAGACCCGATACTCCACCACATTCTCAAAAGCGATAACGCTTCCAAAAAAGTACAGACGTGAGTGGGAAGAGAAATACGACGAGGAAGAGCCGCATCCTCGGTTGGACAATGTCAGTGTAGATAATTACAATTCAAGTAATTTACAACAATTTATTTCGGTTATATTTGGAAAAACTCATTGTTGCACTCCAAGAAAAGATTTAATTAACTGCACTTCATTAGACATTGGTAACAAAGCATTTTAACCTATAAGTATGACTGATTGCTGATCTAATCGGGCAGCCACGCAGCCTGTTTCTGCGTTTGATGCATATGGTCTAAGTGGAGTTGCCATATTTCTCTGTCCAAGATGGCGGCCCCATTCACCGTGACGAAGCGACGTGCGGCTAGTTTTACGACTTTACGTTTAAGTCACACGTGGTCAGAGTTATTCCTAATTGGCGGCTCGACCTGGTGCGGGAGAACGGCTGAGGTAGAAAGGTAAGTGGCTTCTGGATTTTTTAACTCTAATGTTGGCGTTTTCAGTGTTTTAATATTAGCCAATTAGCTCACAATTTAGTTTTGCCGAATCTAATTTTAAAATGGCCGACCCGCGTTTGAATTTGTTTGGAGGATGTTGTGTTTACTCGTTGAATCATATTTTACCGTGTTGCATGTTTAAAGTACAGCTTCGGTGTGTTCTACAGGGACTTTGTAAAATAATCATTTGACAAACTCTCAAACTTTTTTCGTTTATTTTCCAGGTTGTTCGTCCTGAACATTTCCAACACGGTAAGGTTCTTCTTCTTGTTTTTATTCTTTACGGCCGCTGTGCCTTGCTGCTTGTGAGTTTGTGTTAAACATAGTAATAGAAAAAATAAATAAAATACATTAATGGAATTTTAAAGAATTTAAAATTGAGACACAACATTTGATTCATCAGTTTATTCCATTGTTCAATACATTGTGACAGTGCTTTTGAAACTTAATACAAAATATAAAAATAAATGTTAAAAGTATTGTTTTTAATTATATTAAACTTGGTGACTACACTTGGACTTTACTGTTAAAATTCACAGCTGACGCTGCTTAAGGAAAAAAAACGTATTTAAAAACTTATTTTTAATGTTTCTGGAAATATCTGCTGACGTGTTCGTTTACTCTTGTTTACTTCCTGAGAATCAGAGGCCAAAACACAGGGTCGCCTGTTCATGTAGCCACAGCGTGCTAATATTGCTAACAATACAATTTACCTGCACATACGATGAATTTAATTCTGTTAAATGAACTCGGATAAATTACAAATGTCCTTATATTTATATATATATATTTATTATGTTTGACTAAAGTCACGATAAAGAAGAAGAAAGGAAAAAAAAGTCAAACACTGACTTCACATGGTGGAAGAAAAACAAGGTAGAATTATTCACACAAAATATTTAAATACAAATGTGAAGAAGCAGCGCCCCCCTGTGTCCACTTAAATAACTCACCAGAACTGTGTTGACAGTTTTCTACATGAGTGTTGTTTTTTTCTTTTTAAATACCCTGACATGCCTTATCTAGGAATAATTAGACACTGCTAAGTCTGATTTATAATCTGTTTCACTTCAACAACTGTCCCTTCATCAGTGAGTTTTTTGTTTTGTTTTGTTTTTTTTGCAGCAAGCACTTCCCAACACAACCCACTTCCAGGGTGTGGATTAGATGGGATTGAAATGTTCTGCATGGCAGGCTGACACCGCGCCACTCCTTTTTAGTCCAACATGGCGTCCAGCTGCTCGGCTAAATCGTCAAACATGTTCCCGATGTCGTCCAGGATGTTTCCGGCAGATTTGACTACATTTGTTCGAGTCCTGCAGAAAAGAAAGACAGACCAAAAGGTGAGATTAAAATGACACAGACTGTCTGTACTAATCTAGATCAGAGGTTCCAAACCAGTGGCCCAGAGACCAGTACCAGACCATATGTCATTTGGTACCAGACTGTGGGTCATTGTTTTCATGGAGTGGTCCCGATCAGGATCCCAGGTAGAAATGGACTCACTCTTGCAAATGTTTCTCCTGGTTAAGTTTGTTCTCAACAGCCATCAAAGCTGCTTCCAAAGATGTACTGGTCTGGTCCAGTCTCTGTTGGACCGCCTCAGTGGCCTGGAAGGGAACTGGAGCCCCCACACACGCCTGACGTCTTGATGCAGTCTGTAATGGAGAAGGAGGAGGATCCAAAGGTCCAAGTTCAGCTGTTGAGCATGAGGAAGTGAAAGCGACGCTTTGGACAACACTGAAGGTCAGAGTTGGACCTGATGGTCCTGATTGTCCAGAGGATCCAGATGGTCCAGCTTCTAAAGAGACAAATATAATAGAAAGTCAAAACTGTGGACAAGATGGAGCCATTCAGACAAAACAGATTTGAAAGACACAGAGACAATTGGAGAACCGATAAGCACATCGCAAACTAGGATCGTGATCATCACAATGAGTCTAGGAGGTTTGAAACTGTACCGACAACAACAACAGAACCTATAGGAACCAGATCGTTTAGACTTGACTGGACTTTACCTTTAATCCAAGTCCAAGTTGTGCAGTTTTAGGACAATAAGAAAATAAACTCTACTTGTGACTGAAATGTTACAACTGTACTGTTGATTGTTGTTGATTTTTTTTTTTTCCCCATGTCCAACTCCCTGTACCTCTTGTCTTACCTGGTTCCGCCATAAGGCTGTGTCGCGCAGGCTTTGGGGCAACTAAAGGAGGTTTTGCCGAGAGTGGGGGTTTAATGGGAGACCCTGGGGCCGAACCAGGTGGCCTCTCCAGAGCAGCCTCTCTGGTCCTAAAGCTGGACTCCCACTGACACTGTGACAAAGGCGGGCTACAGTCCGCCTCAGATACTGAGCCCTCGTGGCTCGAGGAACCTCCTTCCTGCTCCTTGTCCTTTGGTTTGTGTCTGCGTTTGACAGTGTCAGATTCCTTCAGGTTAAACTCAGGCACCTCCGAGTTCTGGGCTGCATCTGTATCTGGAGGTTCAAGAACAGCTTGGGCCCGGGGGGGTCCTGGAGCCTTCGGTCTCTGCTTGATGGTCAGGTTTCCTTCTTCTGCAAACGGTATGCACTCGTTGGAGCTGTTCTGAGGGGAGGAGGACTCTTCCAGTGTGTGACCTTTGGACTCTTCTTCTTTTGACTCGTGCTTTAAGTCTTGGTGCAGCTCGTTTACGTTAGTGTGTTCAGTGAAGCACTCACTCTGAACCCGCCTCCTCACACCCGTGGCTTCATCAGGCTCCTCAACAGGGTCTGGTTTGGGTCCTTGGGGACACATTTCCTCCAGGTTGTCTTCCAGAAAAACAGTTCCTGGCTCTGTGCCAGTGGGACTGCTGACAGAACTTAGTCTTTTCGGTGGTGGAGGAGGGGGGCCTTTTTTCTTGGCCCGCACTGCAAATGACTGACTGCGTCCAAGGTTGCCATTCTTTTCGGGGCTGGACGGTACATGTGCCGGGTAGCTGCGACCTGGCTTTCGAGTTAGAGTGGCGTAGGAGGGCATGCTACCTTTAAGAAGTGCAGATTCATCATTGTCGTCCTCATCAGGTTCTCCATCTGACAAAGCACAGCGGGTCGTGGTCTGCATACAGGTCTGAGGGGTTTTTAGGGTCCTGGTTTGGTCCTCGGTTGTTGAGGATAAGTTCTGATCTGTGGAGCCACAGGGAGCATGAAGGAAGTTAAGACCTTTGAGCAGATGATGTGGTTTGTCGGGGACACACTGGTACTTAAAGACTGTGGCTGTGCCGAAAGGCACTTGTTTGGGAAGAGGCTGCTGCTGTGGTCTCTGATCCCAGCCATCTGGGAGGTTTCTCTGGGGGATGTTCTCATCAAAGTTCTCTTGAGACCGCTTTTGGGGGGTTCTACAACCAGCAGGGGGCTCCTGTGTGTGGCCAAAGCCTCTGAACCTTGTGTCAATGCTGTCCTGGCTCTGGGACAGTCCTGCTGGGTCCTTCACTGTCCCTCTGTCTTCACACCCTTCACTGTGGCTGGTCGAGGTTTGCAGTTCAGCACACAGCTCGTTGTCCTGGAAGGTGGTCATACTTGGGGTTTGAGAAGAAGAGCGTTCACCAGTGAAATCACACTGCTGGAAGGCCAACAGGTGGAGCGGAGCAGAGCCTTTGTGTGTCGGAAGGCATTGGCCTGATTCCAGGGAGGCTCTGTGGATGTCAGCTAGCTTCTTCACTGCTAACATCAGCTTCTTCTGGTGACCTGACAAAATAAAAAAATAAACATGAACACCAGAGTAAGAAAAGGTTCCTTTGTTAATCAGGTGCCCAGCTCACCCAGCTTGGTGATGCCGATCTCCTGTAGGTCTTCCCACGTCAGGTCTTTAACGATGCTAATGGAGTCGTAGCCATTTTCACAGAGATTTTTATGGTACTGCAAGAGTCCGATGGCACTGAGCCACTCCCCCAAGTCCGACTGTGGAAGTTAACATTAAGAGCTTGTGTATGATTTGGAATAAAGAACAAAAAAAAAAACAACAGATGATCTCAAATTTGAAACTGGTCATGGAACAGACGGTCGTACTGGTATGTATTCTGGGAGCCACTCTGGAATGTTCAAGTTACTGATCTCCATGGAAATTTTCTTGCGGTGTCCTGGTTTGGTCACTCCGATGGCCGTCAGGTCCTGCGCACAAAAGCACCCGGGGCTAGAATTAGGACTGGACTCAGGAACTGGCAGTGAGGGTATAGTGCTGCCCCTGGTGGACTCAAAGGGAGAACCAGAAAGACTGAGTAGTAAAAAAAACAAAAAACAGATTGTTGTACCTCTGGAGTCATCCGACTGATGGTGGGAACATCGTAGCCAGCACTGATAAAGTTCCCAGTGTAATGTTCCAACTGGAAGTCTCTAAGCCACTGGAAGATCGCTTCCTGGTCCTGAAATGACAGGATTGTGAACAATTAGGAAAAGAGAGCAACAAAGAAAACTCAGATGGAGATGCTAAGAAAAGAATTGACCAGATCAAAGATGTGACCCCTGCTGACCCTAACCCTGGAGAAAATCCAAAAGATTTAACATGTGGACATTTTTTACCTTTCCGTCCAGCAGCTGCTGTGGACGAACAAACTGCTGACAAAAACTCTGCTCAACGCCTTGGTGAACCGTTGCAGTGCGTCGGTGTGAAGCCCCGCCTATAGTGACATTAGAGAATCAAGTCACGTGACCAAAACTTTTAAAAAGTTTTTATTTGAATGAAAATATTCAACAAATGTGTTATTAACCTGCAGAAGATTTAGACTCCTGGTTTAGCTCCAGGTCTCCACTGTCAGCAGCAGGGGGCGGTGTCTGCACACAAACAATCCCAACAAACATAAAGATCCACCAACAAGTCTGTAGAGAATAGTGATTTTAACTCACAGAAACAAAGGAGCTACTGGTCCAATGCTGCCTCCTGTGGTCAGTTTGTGTCACTGAGGTTACCTTACACTTGCAAAATATCAAGTTTTTATAACAGAATAAGAATAAAGAGCACAGACCTGGTTAATGTTCTGGTCCAGGTTCTGCTGGACTTTGGCAGCCGCTGTCTTGCCTTCGCTGCTCTGTCCACTCCCTGTGCTGCGGCTGCTACCCACGCTACCCACACTGCTCCTGTCACCCACTGACAAAGGACAAACAAACAGAACCGATGCTTGACTTGTCCAGACAGAAAAACAGCGTCAGCCGTCATCAGTCAGACAGAGTTCAGCCTCAGTGACGTGGATGGAGTTTACGCAGGTAGTGATTAAAGTTCAGTCCTCCAAAAGAGTTTGGAGATGGAGTTAAAGACATGTTTGAACGTGAGCTGAAGGGAGATGTTGGACAAAGTTAAGGACGGCGATGTGGATTACACACAGACGTACACACAAACAAGACAAAAAGACAGAAAAACATGTGATTTGTACCTGTACAGGAAGTGATGTTGAATGGAGGGGGCGGGGCAAACATAGTGTAGGGGCTGCCTGTTTGGGGGCCAGAACTTGTGGAGAGTGACAGCTGGTTGTGGGTGTGACATGTTGGGAACAGTGATGCATGTCGGGAGAGGACACCCCCTGTAGGACAAGAGGGGAGTGGCGGGGTTAACAAGCTGATGGTTAGAGGCAGAGTTAGACACCAGGTTCTTTTAATGAGGCGAGCAGGGAGGTGTCGTCAGTGTGGGATTGGATGGTTCAGCATTAGGTCACGTGACACCAGCTCACCGTTCCTCCTGCTGACGACCTCCACGATGGAGGCAGGGAAGAATCCCACTCTGTCCGTCCCTCTGCTGTCATGGATGTGACCTTTCCACCGTCCGTCTCCGTGCTGCTCTAACACCTGCGGACCAAGGTCATCCGTCAGACTTCTTTTTTTCACTGTAATTATGCCAAGTGTCAGCGCCTCCTGCAGACTCACTGTGATTATGTCACCGGCACGAACGTTGAGCGCAGTTGGATCGTGGATGTTCCAGAAGTCCTTCAGTGCTCTGACCTGCAAAACGCCTGTAGCATCTGTGGTGTTCACAGAGACATGAACATTTAGGAATTTGTTCTAGATCATTTAGGAAATCTTTTAGGGAAGCTTTGAAAGACTGTGGCACTACTGTGACTGAATGTCAGGGTTTCAACCTCTGAGCAGCTGTTTGATATCCTTGCTGGCATGTGACGTGGTGAACTGGTTTACGATGTCCAGTGCTGTCTGATTGTAGGTGTTTCGGATGTTGACGTCGATGCCGGCCTGCGAACACAAGTTACCGACATGATCAGTTTGTGAGTTCAACTCAGAGACAGCAGCAGCAGCAGTGGACCAGTGGCTCCTGAGTCCTTATGAGTAATATTACTGATTTCTCCACTGACTTGTTCGTGAGTTAGTTTCTCTATTGATTTTCATGTGGTAGAGTGAGTGATCGCATTGTTTGCTGCTTTGTGAACCCACCTCCAGCAGGAGGCGCACCACCTCAGTTTTCCCATACAGCGATGCCTCGTGCAGCGCTGTACCAGACTTGGTCGTCTTGTTGATGTCGATGGCAGCCTTCAACAGCAGCCTAGAAATGACAGTCACATGACCCACCTCTCAGACAGAGTCACATGGTTGGTTTTGTTTTTTTATTTTTTAACACGGCCGTTTGCTCTTACCGAATGATGTCTTTGTGTCCGTTTCGAGCAGCCAGGTGCAGCGGCGTGGTGTAGGCGGAGTCTGTTGGCTCCTTCTTGTCTCCTTCCACCAGCGCCACGACCATGTTACTGCTGAGCAGTAGCTGAGCCACCTGCAACCAGAACCAGACTGCTTACAGCGAACTGCTAAAACACAGATGCTAACAGATTACTGCTACAGTAACAGTCGGATGCTAGCAGCTCACCTTGATTCGTCCAAACTCACAGGCCAGGTCCAGCGGCGTCTTCTTGGCCTTGTTGATCAGACATGGGTTGGACTGGTGCTGCAGTAACATCTCCGACTGAAACATCGACATGGTTCATACTGTGAGACAATCTTGACATGATGCATTTCTGATTATCAGAACGGTCAGTGAACTCACCACTTCGAAGTGTCCGTACTGAGCCGCCAGGTGCAGCGGGATCTGTCCATCCAGGGAAACTGCGTTCACCGAAGCACCAGCACGAAGCAGCGTCAGGACGCAGTCACCTTTTCCCTGCCAGGAGGCGTAATGCAGCGGCCGCATTCCTGTAGCGGTCACATGACACAGCACTCAACACCACCGTCTATCACCTGAAATAATTTGGATTAAAGCAGTTTGAGATCGAAGCCCTAAATCAGGCCGAGTGAACGAATCACAGGGCGCTCCTGTGCAGCTGAATCGTTTACCGACCGCAGTCACGTTCAGGTGCCTTTGTATGTGTGTTTTGTGTTGTGGGTCTGTGTTTGTGTGTTGTCTCCGTGTGTTTTGTGGGTCTGTGTTTGTGTGTTGTCTCTGTCCTAGTTCCGTGTCATTGTGTGTTTGTTGTGTTCTTTGTCAGACCGTTGGTGTCTCTGATGTCCACCATGGCCTGGGCCTGGATCAGGACTGAGATCATATCCGTGGTTCCTGTCAGAGCGGCGTGATGAAGAGCAGAGAAGCTGAAAACAAAAAAACAAAAAAACAGAACTTCATGGATTTTAGCTCCATACAGAAAATAGCTGATTTTAGCACACAGGGTTACAGGAGCTGCTGGTCAAATACTGCCTCCTGTGGTCAGGTAGTTTGTGTTTCTGAGGTATATTTGAATAATGGATTTTTTTTAACACCATGATCATGCTGAGGCTAGGTCACATGATCCTGTCAGGACTAGGTGTACTGAGCGTTTGTGTTGACTCACCCATCACAGTCCTGGAAGTTAATATTTAGTCTCTTATTGGAGCTCAGGAGTTCTAATGGAAAACACACACACACACACTTCAGATTCAGAACACGTACTGCACGCGTGCAGATGTTCAGTCAATGTGAACGAGCAGCAGAACTCACTGTTCCTGCTGGACTTCAGTTTGGACAACAGCTTCTGTGTGGACACCAGGTCCCCATTCTTCACTGCCTGAAGCAGCTCCTGCTCCTTTCCCATAATCCTTTGCTCCTTGTCCACCTGTAACCGTAGTAGAGCCACCCAGTAAACTGTATCCTCACAGCCTCACGTGTGGCTCCAGCCACATCGGACCATTCCTCCTGAAGCCACTACTTTTCTTCAGCCGACATCTGTTTCCTGTGTAAGAAAAAAAAAACCCATCAAGAAATCATCAATACTGTTACCTTCATCACCAACACCACCATAATCTTTTTTTACATTGGTGTTTTATGTTTATTTTTGTTTTATCTGAACAGACAATGTTGCATTTTCTAAGGAAGACACGGCTCACAGAGCACTGCACTGCCTTCATCTCCACTTGTTTCTCCTCTCCTTCCCTGGGGCCTTTTTCGCCTCAGCCTCATCTCCTCTGCTCTAAATGTTCGTGAGCGTCTTCAGCGTCGATCAAGTGGAAGAAATAAAGTCTTTGAGAGTGAACTGAAGTCATCCGAGCGCAAGTAAAAATGGGATGAGGATGTTTTGTCTAAAACAGTTTTAGAACATCTTCCTGCCCCAGTTTCATTGAAAACATCTGCACATCTGCACTTTTTTTAGTAAAAATACATCTACTTTTGTTTTGGAAAGTATTTGAAGGAGTAATATTAATCATTCTAATAACAATGATGCTGTCAAGTCTTCGCCAAGTGGTATTTTGTATTGATGGATCAAAACTACTCATTTTACCCCACTGCCCACCAGGTTCCGTTTAAAAAACTTATATGTTTTAGTTTTAAGTTGATTCGGGTCGCACACAAAAAACTCTAAAGCTGTGATTTATAGTTGGCCCCGGTTCCGGGCGAACTACCTCCAAATCGGCCCTGGTTTAGAGACGGACGAAACTACAAATCGGCCCTGGTTTAGAGACGGACGTGTGAACCCAGCACGCGCTGCGACACTTTACTCTTGAATTGTTTTTATATAGCGGTCACCGTGACACACCGTGACCGAACCTCACGGACTGAACTTAGATCGTGAACAATTCCGAGCTTTGCCCCCGTCTCGCTTACAGTTTTTTTGGATCATATCTAGAAGATATGTTCCCGATTGTGTAAATAATGAATTCAGGTCTTGGACATTTGAAGCGGTATTGGAATGTAAACAGCCAAACTGGCGACATGCCATAAGAAGTTGGTAACAAATAAAATGTAACTTTTTTTTACTTGGAAAACTCACTTTTCTCTGGGTTTTGTTGATCTTACGGACAGTAAACTTACCACGGTGGCACTTGGAGCTCCAGAATTCCAGGCGACGATTTTCCGGGAAACTTGAGTTTTCTCGGGGCTGTTCTTCTCCGCGGTTCGAGTTTCTGGGAAAATTGTTCCCGGTTACAGTAAAGCGAACGGAAAGTTCCAGCAGGGTTGAGATTTAAACCACTTTCTGCTCTTTATAACTCCACTGTTCCCCGCCTGTCGCCTTCCTTCCTTCCTCCTGCTTTTCCTTGAATGCCACATTCATTCCATGGATTCTCCAGGAATGTCCAGGTACCGTGAACGCAACACAAGTATCCGGATCACAATTCCAGAATAAAGTGTTGTTTAAAATGTTCGCAGAATTTCAATAGAACGTATTTGTGAACATAACTCACCGATTAAATCGAATAGTATTTTTTAATTCACAGAATAATAAGTCAGTGGAGAACGTCTGTCATTTTGGCAGAACATTAAATAGCAGTTATTGATCCACTGCTGCCCCAACATTAAAATTAAATAGTTATTGATCCACTGCTGCCCCAACATTCAGCTCAAACGTGTTATTGTTGGGATTTCACTGTTTGAACTCTGTTGACATGGTTACATAAAGTGGCCGCAGCGGGTAATTTCTAATCGAGAAAGACATTTTCTCTCGATTTACCGCCCACGTTAACAAAAATACACTTCCCAGAAGACTTTGCGTCGACGGCTAATTTCCGTTTCCTGTTTGACAATTTCAATTCTTCCTTTTGGTACCAACATCGGCGGTTCGTGGGTCTGTGTTCGGCTCTGTGCAAGCACAATGGGTCCAGTGGAGGTAAAGTGAAGTGGCGATTCTGACCGGATGTTGTTTTGACTTCTCAACCAAGTTACCTGCACACGGTGGATTAGAATAGAGTAGTTTTTTTAATGTTATTATCGTACGATACAGCAGTGCAAGCTCAACAGCTCTGGTACATATGGTCAGTAGTGACAGAGGCTAGAGCAAAAAAGAAACAAATAGGATTGTAAACGGAAGCTATTAATAATATAAGTGTGAACATTGTGAAATACACAAAAAACGTGCGATTTTTTAAGATATAGCTTACGGTGTTGAGACTGAAATTAATTTGATTATGTAGCTTATTAGGGGAAAGTCTTGTTCTAACTTGGCTTGTGTGGTCTTTATCGTGTAATGACAAAATTGACCAGTAGGAGGGAGGATATTGACACATTTGCTTTTTTTTTTCTCCCTGCAGTTGTTGCAATATGTCGGTCTTCTCTCAAAGTTTCTCCCCTTGTGGGCGATTCCTCGCCGCCGGAAACAATTATGGAGAGATCGCCATCTTCAGGTGAGCCGGCGCTATGGCTAACATGTATTTAATTTAATTAAATTTTGACTTTGTATTAAGTTTATGATGTATTTACAAACTGTTATCCAACGGTTACAGTCTGTCTGCAGCGCTGAGTCCTGACGCCACACCGTCCAATAAGAAACCAATGCTGACATTCACCGGTGAGTGACCATGACCTCTGTGAGGTCAGATTTATTTAAGTCTTCACTACGTTGGCGTCTGTCAATATATATTTGGTCTCTGTCTCCGTATCCTCAGCCCATGAAGGTCCAGTCTTCTCCCTGGTCTCCACTGACTGTCACCTAATCAGTGCAGGTAACGGTGAGGTCTGCCTCTGGAACTGGGCTGAGCTCATTAAGAAGGTGAGAGTTGGACCAAAGGTCAAAGGTCGTTCATTAATTAGATTCTGAAATAACATCCAGTCTGTGTTTGTCCTCAGAACGTCAGTGCTCTATTGAGGAAAAGACCCGACTACAAGTGAGATTAAAAAGCTGAGTTTTATTTTTTCTTTCTTTCTTTCTTTCTGAACACAAATGATGTCTTTCTGTTCTCACAGGTCGAGTTTGGAGATTCCAGAAATCAACTCCATGGCGGTCCAAATCAGAGTGAGTCAGTTCCTGTTCCAAACCTCTTGAAGATTATCTTTTTTTTCCCCCACTTGTGTTTTTTGCTTTTTAATCTTGGTTTCTCAGTTGGACACAGTCAGAATGACTCCTGTCCTCCTGTCCTCGTCTTCTGTTTCAGGACAACAGCCTGGTCATCGGTGCAGGAGACAACAACGTCCACATCATGGACCTGGAACATGGAGTTTTTAAGGTGTGAAGACAAAAGATAGGAAAATATGATGCGTTTGTCCTCAGTCTCTGTCTGCAGTTTGTCTCAGTCTGTCGGTCTGTCCACAGTCTGTCCTGAAGGGACACACAGACTACATCCACTGTGTCTGTGTGAGGGAACGAGAGTCTGAGATCCTGTCAGGTGGGGAGGATGGAGCTGTCAGGATCTGGGGTAAGTCACCGTAGGTCACCGTAGATCACGCCTGCTCTGATTGGACCAATCTGATTCTTTGTGAATGTCAAATGTCTTGTCACACAGACAGCAGGACGGGTACGGTCCTCAGTTGCATCTCTGTCTTCAAGTATCAGGTGAGTGGCCGACGATGACGCAACACTTCTCCACATATGTAGCTGTTCCATTGTGGCATCACGTCTTCACTACGCCCCCTACAGGAATGTGCCAGGCCTCAACTTGGGAAGTGGATCAGCTGTTTGGCCACAGACTCAGACTGGATGGTGAGAGCAAAAAAAAAAAAAGAGTTGAAGTTCTGCTAGTTTGGTCTGGTTCGGGGCACTTTGATGAATCAGAACATATGGCTTACGACCTTTAACCTCTAACTTTCTTCGATCAGGTCTGTGGGGGCGGTCCTTCCCTGTCTCTGTGGCATCTTCGCTCTCAGTCGCCCACATCAGTCTTCCCTCTCTCAAATTCTCAACGTAGCGCCACCTTTCATCAGGACATGGTAAGGCCCGCACACATTCTATTAGTGACATCAAGGTGAGCAGTTTGTCGTGTGTGTGTATGTGTGTGTGTGTGTCTTGAACCCCTGTCCCATGTCGGCTGCAGATCCTTGCAGTTGGCGAAGGCCCTCACGTGTCCCACTGTCTGCTGGGGGGTACGATACGAGCTCAGATCCCATCTGTGCTGCAGAGCATCAACACACTGCAGCTGAACAGAAACAGTTCGGAACACCAGGTGAGTCCACCACTGCTGCATTGGTTTCTGGGTAAGACTGGGGTTTTTTTTTTTGTTCTTATTTTGTTTGTGTGTTTTCAGGTGCTGACAGTTGGGGGCAGCAGTGAGTGTATAGATGTCTTCACTAACTTGTCCTACAGAGCTTTTTCACTCCGTTTTTGATTCTTGCTGCAGTGGCACCTGATGGGGTTTTCTTTTGTTTTTTTGTAAGTTTTTAATTTCTTTACTGATTAAAGTGCCCGATCAAAGACGTCTATGTGTAGCTGTCATTCGGACTCACCAGGTGGTGCTGATGTGTTAAAGAGCTGTTGGGTCACGTGATGTCCTGAGTGAAGATGAAACTAAAACAGAAAGTTTTCTGGTGTCCACCAGAAACTTATAGCTAAACAATTGAGTAGCAGAAAAAGTAGTAAAAAAAACTGTCTGATTGTAGTTGCAGATCAGAGCCCCCTGGTGGCTGTTCAATAAACAAACACATCTCTGCTGATGTTTTTTATTCAACGTGGAAAAACTTTAGTTCAGTTTCTGAGGCTTCAGGAAGTACAGATAAGAGACAGTGGAGTGAGGGCCGAGCAGTGAGTGATGTCAGGAGAATAAGGGCGGGGCTCAGACGAGGGGGCGGTCTGGTTCTCAGGCGGCTGACAGACAGGCCTGTCGGACACTCTGAGCCCAAGTGTGGAGAAGTTCTGTCAGTGAGTGTTTGTCTGGAAGCTGCAGGAGTTTGGACGTCATGTTCTTCTGGACGTTCTGCAGGAAACTGTTGGAATCTGAGACACAGACAGAGAGAGTCTCACTATATGGTCTGTGTATGACAGTGCACCATTTTGAGCAGTTTGTCAACATGACTGTGTTGCTGGGTTTACAGTATACACGGGGGTCTCACCGTACTGCTGGCCATCATCGCTCCACTGTGGACTCTGTTCAGGATAATCCGCA